TGGCCCTCTTCTGTGAGTACACCAGCAGGTACTTCACTCGCAGGAGCTGGTTGTTGGTGACCACAAAGTACTTTGGAGGGATGTCTCCCCCTTCACTGTGCTTGATTCTCGCTCTCCTGCGATCTATCTCCTTGGAATCTTTCTTCTTGGTTTGGCACTTGACATCTGGATGGTCTATGACCTCACACACAGCCAAGCAGCTGAGGATGGGGCCAAGGAGGTTATGCTGCCACCCATAGCCATGGGGGCTATAAATGAGGGCCAGGCTCAAGTCACTGGTGAGGTAGGTCCCTTCCCGGAACAAGGATGTCTTGTTCAGGTGGCAGTGCAGGCCATTGTGGATGATGGAATGGAAGCTTTCTAGGCGGCTCCCATAGAAGGCGTAGATTAGGTCTCGTTCTCCTTTGGTCTCATAAAATTTGGCATTCGCTGGGTCCGAGTACTTGATTTCAAATAGGAAGTCCGGCACAAGGACAGGAGTGTGAGGGGCACCAGTCAGCTTTTGGATCTTTTCAAACTCTGACTTCCCGCACTGTGGACTGTGAGGACCTTTGAGGATAAAATCCAGCTCAGCAGGTCCTAGGCCCGTTTGTCTTCATCTTCAGAGGACTGGAGAAGCTCTTTCTGGTTGGGTAACTTGCTGGAATCTACAAGCTGAAGTCCCAGGTTTCAGTTTTGATCCCAGTTCTGCGTTTTGTGTGAGGCAGCCCACCAATGTTTCTCTCTCACATTAATGTTTTTGTTCTCTCTCTCTCTCTCTCTCTCTCTTTCTCTCTCTCTCTCTCTCTCCCTCTTCCTTCTTTTTTCCCTAAAAATGAATAAAATAAAACAAAGTTATAATAAGTGTGTTTTTCAAATATTGTTTCCCAGTTTGTGGCTTTTGTTTCCATTTTCTTTTCTTTTTTAAATATATCTTTTTAAAACTTTTATTTAATTTTTCTTTTTTGTTATTTTGTTTTCCTATTACAGTGTGCATTCAACATTATTTCATATTAGTTTCAGTTGTACAGCACAGAGGATTTAAAAAAAACACCTTTTAAGATATAGTTCACATACCACGTAATTTACTCATTTATAACATCTGAATCAGAGGGTGATAGCAGCAAGATGGTGCAGTAAGAAGCCTCACATCCTCCTTCCCCCATGGCGACACTGACTCAAGAATGGCACATGCCCAATTCCCTTTGTGAGAAATCCAGAAACCAGTTAAGAAGCTTGTGCACCCCAGGGGAGCGACAAACCAACTACATTGAAGTGGGTAGGAAAATTCATGGCTCTCACTTACCGGAGTCTCTCCCCCGACAGTGCAATGAGCAGGAGGAAAACTCCTAGCTCAGTGGCTTCTCCCTCAGGAGAGAAAGAGAAAACTGTTTCAATACATCCAATGTTCCTATTTTCCAGAGACACTTCTTAAGAGGCTGGTTTCTTCCTTGCCAGCATCTAAGCACCACAGATCAGGGACTGCTTTGAAAAAAGTAATGTTTCAGACTAGTACACATTATCCCTCCTCCCAGAACAGTGTGGCATTTGGGAGAAAATTCCCAGATCCTCAGCTTCTCCCTGGGAAGGGAAA